GGGAAAGAGGAGCAGCCCATTCTGAGGCTCGAGCAACTGAGGAGACGAGATAGGAACGGCGTTTTCTTGTCTTTTTCCTATTATGACAGTGGTACATGCTCCTTATAAAAAATTCAAACAGGACAAAAATAGACAATGTCGGAAGCCATGGTTCCTTTCAGCCTCATCCCCCAGAGATAACCATGGCTAGCGCTGTGGAGTGTGATGCATGACCAGTGGTGCTGAGGGCCCCTGACCTTTACGCCCCAGCAAAGGATGTCTGCGCTTGCTGATTCCAGCTACTCAAGGCTTGGAGGGTTTAGGGGCTGGAGGCCATACCCTTCTGTTTTGCCCCACCTCCCAGGATTTTTCTGTCCTTAGTGGGGCCTAGGCCAGGTTTGTGGAAAGTAACTAGGGCTGGACCTTTAAAGAGTTAAAGGGGCAGGCCCAGGGCGGGCATGAGGGTGAGAAGGCAGGGTCGTGAGGATGTTGGTACTAGCTGATTCCTCCTGATATTAAACCTCCTCTCTTGCCCCCAGACAAATCCTCACATGCATCCGTTCAGTCTGTCTGTCTCACTTAGCTCTCTCCTCCCCTCACTTATCCCCAGCACACACTTCCTCTCCGCCCCTGCTTATTATGACAGCGTGGGGATGTGCACACACACCCTCCGAGCTTGGCCTCGCACCCTCCCTGCTTGCGCCTTGTCTGCCAGGCCCAGCCTTGCCAGGGCTCCGTCTCTCCGTTTTGGGAGGGAGAACCAATAGTCCAGGCTCACTCTGCTCAGGCCATTGAGTGGTCACCAAGGAGAGGCCAGGTGTAGCCTACGATAGACATAGGAGGTTTAGTCACGGTGGCGTCTTCCAGGGATGCAGTGAGAGGTGCCCCTGGGAAGACCTTTTATTTTTTTTTTTTAAATTTCAGCATTAAAAACAAAAACTACCACCACCAAGCCCTTACAGTGACTTAATTCTGGAAATTTAGAGGTCTAAAGACTTTTCATATGTAAGATTCCCCCACTCCCAACCCCGTTGTGTCCAAGAGAAGCTCAGGGAGCTGGTGCTGTGGGGTGGGCAGATCCCAGGTGGACGGTGGCTTCCATAGTGCTGACTGAGGCATGTGGGGTGTTGTGTGACGTGTGTGATACAGTGTGTAGGGTGTATGTGTGTTGTGTTGTACAGTGTCATGTGTGGTGTGGTGTAGTGTTGTGTGCGTGCGGTGTAGTGTAGTGAGTAGAATAGTGCATGATGTGTGTGTGTGTGGTGGTGTGGGGGCCATGTATGTGTGGTGTGTATGCACCAAGGGACTTTTTGAGCCCTTCAGGGACCGATCTGACCATCTCTACCAGACTGTATTCCACCTTCGTGCCTGATTGGCTAGGTCTAGAATTCTAGGCTGCGAAACTTTTCCATCCAAATTTTGAAGGCGTGACTTCATGTGGTGCCCAGTGTTGCTAGAGAGGGCCTGATGCTATTCTAATTCCTGAGTGTATGAATCTCTCTCCCCTTTTTGGAAGCCTTCAGGGTCTCTTTTGTGCCTAGTGTTCTGAAACCTCACAGTGACACCATGACTGAGTCTTCATTGTGCTGCGTACTTGTGGGCCCTTCTGTGGTGGTGCTGACATCCTTCAGTTCAGAAAACTTTCTTCCATAGTTTCATCCTCTTTGTTTTCTCTGCACATCCTCTCTTTCTTCTTTTTGTAAATTAATAAAGTTTGTTGTTTTAGAGCAGTTTTAGGTGTACAGAAAAATGAGTGGGAAGTACGGAGAGCACTCATATACTCCCTGATACGTCCATCCCCACCCCAGTTCTAAGTTTCCTCTGTTATTAATGTCTTGTATTAGTGAGGTACATTTGTTACAATTTATGAGCCAATATTGATACAATATTATTAATTAGAGGCTATAGTTTACATTACAGTTCACTCTTAGCATTTTATACTCTATGAGTTCTGACACATGTATAATTACTTGTATCTACCATTATAGTATCATACAGAATAGTTTCTCTGCCTAAACATCCCCTGTGAGTTGCTGATTTTCAGGTTGCTCAGCCTTTGTCTTCTTTTGTGGTTGAGAGAGATGCCCCCCAAGCCCCTCACACATGGGAACAGACTCTGTTCTACTTTTTAGACTCTCCAGTTATTTTGTGGCGAACCTCCTTGGATTGACCTCTAATAATTGCCTCGTCTTTGTCTTTCTGCATTCTGGAGATTTCCTTTAATTTATCTTGGAACATATCCTTCGAATATTTTATTTCAGCTGTGTGCCGGGAGGTTACTCATTCTGAGTGCTGGTGTGAGAAAAGAAGCTGATTTCCAGTTAACTCCTGTTCTCAGCTGCACCTGACCCCATCGTTTTGGCTTGGTGTTCCTAAGTTCAGAACCTTTCTGCTTCAGTCACTCTGAGGAATCTCTCTGCCCACATCTGTGGAGATAGGCAGGAGTGTGACCTGGGTGAGTTGGGTGGGAAGGGAGACTATGGAGGTGTCGAGCTTCTCTACACAGATGCTGTATGGTGCGGCCAGCCCGGCAGAATTGGCTTGGCCAGCCGCTCCTTTTTGAGCCTTCTCCTAGGAGTCTGAGTGGTTTGGGAGGAGGATTTGGGAAGCAGAGGAAGGAAGAGCTCCCCTCCCCTGTAGAGTGGGCTCCACCCACCTGGTCATGTGTGTTAGTGGTCTCTCTGGGAGTGCGTAGTAGGAAGAACATGGGCTTTGTAGCTCCGCATCTCCCCTCTGCTTCCCGGCTACTTGTTCTCTGTGAGTTACTTTACCTCTGAGCCTCAGCCTCCTGCTCTGTAAAACTGGGTAGTGTCTCCGACCTTATGGACTTGTGAGGTGTGAGATGAGAACCCCTGCGCTCCTGTGGCACACAGTAGGTGCTCAGCAGATACGAATGTTCCTTCCCTGGCACTCTTGCTTCAAGCCCCTTTATACCATCTTGTCTGCTTCTCCATGTCACAGAAGTGTTCCTGGTGGGGCTTGGGGTGAGTCAGTGAGTGGGTGAGGTGTGTGTATTTGCACTAGTGTTCCTGTGTTCCTGGCCCTAGGCCTCTGGTGAGCTGTTCTTTCCTGGGCTCACTGGTGTCTCAAAGCAGAGCTTTAGCTGGGACTGGCCAGAAGAGATGATGTAAACAGGGAAAAATGTGGGCAGGTCTTTCCATACCAGTGCCTGGAGATGTAAGTATCCCTCCTAGACTCAGCCTCAGCCCTCTGGGACTCAGAGTTTCAGTGGGAGGGGGTAGGTGATAGGACAGAGGGGAGGTCTCTGAGCTCCAGGGAAGGTGCTGGGCTGGGAGGGGGCCACAGTGTGGTAACCGCTGCCTGCCCAGTAGCACCAAGGAGCGTCCCTACTCAGGATTTGGTTTTCTCTAGCATGGAAAAGTTTTGGATAGGTTCTCAGCTATGCCTGTGGCCTGGAATGCAGAGCCTGCGTATCACAGCAGGAGTCTGGGGAGAGGCCGCTGTGGCCCTCACAGCAGGGAGGGGCCCTGTGAGGCGCCTGGCGCTGGTGGAAGCCAGGCTCCCTGCGTCTGTGACCAGAGCTCTGCCTGTTGCCTCTCTTCTCATAGGTGGTACAAGCTGCACTCCAAGGCGGGCAAGAAGGAGAAGGAACGTGGGGAGATCCAGGTCACCATCCAGTTCACTCGCAACAACTTGAGTGCCAGTATGTTTGACCTGTCTGTGAAGGACAAGCCGCGGTCCCCCTTCAGCAAGATCAAAGACAAGATGAAGGGCAAGAAGAAGTATGACCTGGAATCTGCTTCTGCCATCCTCCCAAGCAGTGCCCTGGAGGATCCTGAGCTGGGCAGCCTGGGCAAGATGGGCAAAGCCAAAGGTTTCTTCCTCCGCAACAAACTGCGCAAGTCGTCCCTGACCCAGTCCAACACGTCACTGGGCTCAGACAGCACCCTGTCCTCAGCCAGCGGGAGCCTGGCCTACCAGGGCCCGGGCGCTGAGCTCCTCACCCGCTCGCCAAGCCGCAGCAGCTGGCTGTCCACCGACGGGGGTGAGCGAGTGAGGGGCCACTCCTGCCAGGGAGACCCGGGGCCAGAAAATAGGGCTTCTCTTCCCCATGCTAACCCCAGTGTGCTTCTTTTTCAGGCAAGGATTCTGCACAGTCCCCCAAGCTGCTCACCCACAAAAGGACCTGCAGCGACGAGGCCAGCCAGATGCGAGCAGCTCCCCCCCGGGCCCTTCTTGAACTTCAGGGCCACCTTGACACCGCCTCCCGCTCTTCTCTCTGTGTCAACGGCAGCCACGTTTACAACGAGGAGCCCCAGGGCCTCTTGCGGCACCGCAGCTCCATCTCCGGCCCATTTCCACCCTCCAGCTCCCTGCACAGTGTCTCTTCACGGCCCTCTGACGAGGGGCCTCGGTCTGCAGATGACTCCTGGGGCAGAGGCAGCCATGGCACCAGCAGCTCAGAGGCAGTGCTTGGACAGGAGGAGCTGAGCACTCAGGCCAAAGTTCTGGCCATGGCGGCCAGCCACTCTGGAGAGGAAGAAGGAGCCCGGCCCCCAGAGGGGAAGCCAGTACAGGTTGCCACACCCATGGTGGCCTCCTCTGAGGCTGTGGTGGAAAAGGAGGGACCCCGGAAGGAGGAGCGGAAACCCCGGATGGGCCTGTTCCACCATCACCACCAGGGCCTGAGTCGGAGCGAGTTGGGGCGCCGTGGCTCTCTGGGGGAGAAGGGAGGTCTCACCCTAGGAGCCTCCCCACATCATTCATCCAGCGGGGAGGAAAAGGTCAAGAGTAGCTGGTTTGGCTTGAGGGAAGCCAAGGAACCAACTCAGAAACCCAGGTACGTCCTTGGCAAGACCAGCTTTGCCCCTCGGGGAGGATGCTGGGGTGTCTGCAGCCTGAATCCCAGGGTTGGGAGGACAGAGCCGATGTGGCCCTCGGGCAGCTGCTGGGGCTCTGGCTTTGCATGGTTGAGCGGGGCTTTCCCTAAGCCAAAGTTCGTTGTCTGCACTTGGAGGCAGTTGAGTCTCAAAGGCACAGTGCTCTGAGGGCCACGTGGATTGAGGAGTCCAGCTCCTCAGTGGTGGGCCTTGCTTCATGAGTTGATACACTCATCCCCTAAGGGAGGCGGAGGACTAGGAGGAAGCGGGAGAAAAGGAAGGATGTCCTCCGTTTGAACTTTTTGCTGCTTAACCTCCATCTCTGTCCTCTGGCTTCAAGGTAAGGGAAGCCTTGGCAAGTAGAGATGAGGACAGACTTACCAGCTATACATAGGAGGTTCCAACACCCCCTCCACTTGGGTTCAATTAATTTCCGAGGGAGGCTCACAGAATTCACAAAAACATTTTACTTACTAGGTCACCCGTTTGTTATAAAAGGCTGTAACTCAGGAACAGCCAAATGGAAGATGTGCGTAGGGCACGATATGAGGATAGGGCACGGCGCTTCCATGCCGAGGGCAGTCGCTCTCCCAGAATCTCCGTGAGCTCGCCAGCCCAGAAGCTCCCTGGGTCCTTTCGGGTTTTTATGGAGGCTTCACGTGACTGATTAATTCATCGCCCATTGGTGATTGATTCATCCTCCAGTCCCTGACCTTCCCCAGAAATTCAGGGTGGGCCTGAAAGTTCCAACCCTCTGTTTGTGGTTGGTTCCCTTGGCAACCAGCCCACCCCACCCCTTTCTAAAAAGCACCTCATTAACATAAACCCAGTTGTGGTAAAAAGGATTTGTTGTGAATAACAAATACCCATTTCACATTTATGACTCTGAAGTGTTTTCAGGAACTGTGGACAAGAGAACAAGTATTATAAAACAGATGCTCCCATTGCTCTTACCACTCAGGAAATCTCAAGAGTTTTAGGAGCTGTGGTCCAGGAACTATGGACAAAGAACACATATATATTTCTTATAAATCACAGTATTGCAGCCCCTGACCCCTGCCCTGGCCCGTTTGCCTTTTCCTAACTCTGCTACGTTGCAGGCTGCTACATTGTCCAGCAGGACCCAGGGTGGGGCTCCAGGCATAGGCCATAGGTGCATGTGTGTCCCCACTTCCTAAAGGCCTGAGGCCAGCCCTGGACAGGAGTATCTATGGCAACTCTAACCAGTGTGGCAAGGGCACCCATTTCCATTCTGTCAGCAAGCCCTGCTCCTCCCCGTCCATGGATATATGGGCAGGAGGTGGGATGGAAAGGCTGGGCACAGTGGGGAAGGGTCAGCCCATAGGACAGAGGGTCCCCAAACCTCTTTCTCAGCAGAGGGAGAAGACTCCTGAAGTCCTGGTTTTTCTCTTTTCCTGTAAAATTCTGAGTCTGCTGAGAGGAGTTGGGAGAGAAATGCAGGGCCTTTCTCTGGGCCCTGGCCAGCTGGCAGCCTCATAGACAGGTGTGTGGGGTGGATCAGTCTCTGAGTGATACCACCCTTTGTACCCCACTTCCTCCCCTGCTTAGTACATCAGCCTTGACCTGATTGGGAAGAAGGGGATGGTCCTTTCTCAGATGCCCAGACTAAGCCTGGTGGCCCTGTGACAACTCACAGAAATTTGTAGATGGTAGAATGGAGGGAGGTGGTAGGAGACCTGGGTAGGGCATTTGCTGAGAACAGCTGGGGGCCTGTGTCAGAAAGGGCACAGAACGTGGGGCTCAGCACTGTCATTTATGGAGTGTCTCTGGGTCTTTTCTAGGGCAGGACAGATGCTGGGGGACATCTCTCTATGAGGTCATTTCTAGTGCCTGCACAGGCTTTGGGCATAGACCGCTGCAGGCCATGACTTTGAGTTTTGCGGGGGATGTCACTGCTCCTGCTTATAGCCTCTATTTTACTTCTCATGTTTCTCCCTGTCTCCTAATGACCTTTCAGAGTCCAGAGAAGTTGGGTCACTGATGGCCATAAGAATTCTGAGGTGTTTGTCCTTCTCACACTTTCATTCTGAGCTTGTCTGCAGCTGGTTGGAGGGCACTTGGGGCATCCCTGCCCTCCCTGGGGCCCATTTGCAGGGGCAGGCTCTGTGACCTTGTATCCAGGTGGGCAAGAGGGCCTTGTCTTTGGGTAAAGTGGCTTGGCCTAGAGAGGTGTGAAACCGGGCCGTTGAACTCCATCAGCATCACCTGGACCCTACCTTAGATGGAGAGGCTGGTCTGGTAGAAATGACTGTTGGTGCTTACCCAGAGGGCTTACGTAGGGCTTTTGAAGAGAATATGCGAGGTGAGCTCCCTGCTGGAAGCTGTAGGTTAAACACCCAGAACTAGAGTGACTGCATGTAGCTGCAGCATCTCCAGCCAGGACACAGGGAACCTGTCCACAGGCCTAGAGGTTTGGGGTGCCTCTGCCCTGGGGCTGCAATTGCAGATTGCTGGGTGCTCTTCACTAGGAAGGGCAGCAGCGCCCTCTAGTGCCCCCACGTGGCACTGATGCCCCATGGCGAGGCCCGAAGCAATGTGTTGGGTGCACAGTATCCAGGAAAAGGCAATGGCTGGAAGAGAAGAAGGGTATAAAGGACTGAGATTTTCCTCTTGTTTCTCCAGACATGGCCCTCATCTCTTCGGTCTTGTGACTGTTACACCAGGCCCCTACCAGCATGTATGTCGGGGGTGTGGGTAACGGAGAGCAAGCCCCATCCCAGCCACTGGATGCGTCCCTGCTCACCAGCTCTGCTGTGAGCCGTGCACCCTGAGCTGCAGTGCAAGCTACTTAGTTTAGGACTGAAGACCACAGGTGTTAACCCCACCAGTGCCAAAGCGGATTGTTTTTGTGTCTGTCCCTCCCTTTCTCTACCCTTTTAGAGTAACAGCTTCCCCAGGGCAGGTCACTGTGTGCTCCCCAAGCTCATCCTCCCCTCACACTGACCATAGAACTTTATGCATTATAGGGGAGCAAGTGGTGAATACAAACATTGTTTTAATTAGCGGGTAAGTGTGGTACAACAGCGGCAAGAATATCGTGGTGGCCTTTAATGATCTCTGCCTCTGCCCTAGTCCCTCACCACGTGTGGTGGACAAGGTCCTGGTGAGCCTGCACTGTGCAGTGGCCCATGGAAGAGCTTGCAGTCTCAGTGACATTCTTGGTGGAGTAAATGAGTAACTGTGCTGTCTGCCTAGTGATTTAGAGTCAGTGTGGCCACATGTCCTGTTTGTGCCTGTTTTCCTGGCATAGTTAATAGTGCCCTTTACCATACTGAAAATGTTCTGGTTTGGAAGATAAATTATATGGTCTCCCTACTTACACTCACGAGGCCCCACTGTGTCACCTCTTTCTGCTCAGATGTTGGGAGAGGATATGTCCAGTCTCTGGGACACGTTTCCTGGACATCTGGGCACATCTCAGGCAGATGCCGGGAGATCATGCCTTAGGAGAGATGGTTGAAGGGCATCTTGTCTGGGGGTGGGTACGCTTCAAAGGCTGGCTTTGGCCTTTTGTAGGGACTGCCTGGAAAAAAGCCTTTGCAGATCCACATGCTACCTCTGAGACCAATACGGGGAAATAACAAGGACACAGAGCTCATCTCAGCCTAAGAAAGAGCTGCCCACTAGTGAAGCCTGGCCTCCAGCTACAGGGGTGACCCAAAGGTGCAGTGAGTTGCTCAGTGACAGTAGTGTTTAAGAATAGAGGGGCTGTTGGAGTGAACAGGTGATTCCTGTATTAAATGGCAGGTTCAACCAGTTGCGCTGAGGGTCCTGCAGGCCCTAAAGTTTGATTTCTATAATTTGAAGAGGCAGGGCCATTTGGATTTCTAATTTCTTTCCCCAACTTTTGATCCTAACAGAGAAGATGAATCAGCATATGTTGAAGCCCCCCACTGCTTGATGATGGGTGGGGGATGGCACTGTGCTAAGCTGGCTTGGTGGGTTCTGGGATGTATGTGTTTATGTCTGTCCTCAGAGCATAACCTGCAAAGCTAACCACACATGGGAATGTGTCTCTGATCTGTGCCAGGTGGAATGGTAGGGAGGGGACACATTAAAATGAGAACCTTCAGAATGTGCATCTCATGTGGAGCAAGGACGAGGGAAGCATGGGGGAGAGGGGTTGTTGTTGTTGGGTAGGAGGGATGGACAGGATGCACTCGGAGGTGCTTCTGGCTCTGGGGAAGCTGCTGGGCCTGGCACTTGGAGTCTCTTTCTCCAGGGAGAGCCCTTTGCCGGTTCCATACCAACCGGTTTGTGTTCCCCTCTGGGGAGCCATTCAGGGCTAGCCAGCCTAGCTTGGGGCTCTAGCCTACTTCCCTGCTGTTCTGCTGCCCTATAATTCTGACTGCCAGCCAGATGATTGTAAAGCTTTAAGGGTGAGTAGGGCCAGGCTGGGGCCAAGGGGTTGTAGAGCTTGGTGCTATTTTATGTTGATAGAGCTCTCTTCCATAAAGACCACTCATCCATAAAGGGGAATGGGGAGAGAGGTAGCTCAAACTACCCCAGCGCTGTTCCTGGGGGGCTGAGTCCTGCTGGCAGGGTTGGGCTGTATCCAGTACGGGTGTACTAGTGAGGGGCATCTCAGGTCCGGGTCTTGACCCACACGGTGGTGGTATACTTCTCTCCTTGGTCTCCATGGTAAGCATATGTGCCTTGGCCCTGGGGCCTGCCTGGTTTGAAGGGAGAAGGGATGTTGGGCCCAGGATTCTCCCTATTTCAGTATCATCACCATGTCCTGACTATAGAAGCAAAGCAATGCTGGGAAGCCCAGGTGGGATGGGAGTAGATGGGACTTTTTTACTTCTTCTCCCTCCATCTCTAGGTGTTGGCATGAGACTGAGAATCAACCCTTGGTTGGGGAGTTATTGTAGGAGAAAAACAGGGTCATAGAATCTCTGGAAGCTGGATTTTTAAGAGAAACCCAGGGAATGGGGACCTGGCTATGTCCTCCTGGCAAAGCTGGGCTCACAGATTCACAGACTCTTGGGAAGCCCACCTTTGCTGCTGGTTGAACTGATTCCTTCCCATTTCCTGCATCCAGTGTTTGTGGACAAGCCGGCCCTGCCTCTGCCCAGCTCTGTGTGGGGCCTGGTCTCTCTGGGCCCTGAGTTCTTGGAAGAATATCCTGGCAAGCTCCAAACTTCTTGGC